AAGGGAAATTTTTTATAAAAAAAAAAAAATTTTTAAATTAAAAAAAAAAAAAAAAAAAAAAAAAAAAAAATTTGGTTCCAAAAACTTGATCACACATTGATCTGATTGATCGATTCAAGATGGCGCTTACCACAATTCAATAATAAAAGTTTTGTAGGCTATATACACCCACCAATCATACAACTATATCGACAGAAAAAGTATCGTTAGAATGGAATGCAGAATATCCTTCTGTGTGTGTTTTTTCCTGGATCACATCATGGGGATGCTGAGGATGCTCCCAGAAAAAAATATATACTACTCACATCTATATAGACCGAGAATGAAGAAATTGATGGAAAAAAAAGAAGATGGAGTCAGCCATCTCCGAAGAGAATATTCTATACGAGAGAAAAAAATTTTGTTTACATTCGGAATCGATTTGGATTCGACAATTTGAAGGCGAAAGAAAAATCCGTTAATTTTTTTGTTTGATTGAAAACCGAAAAAGTTTTATTGATCAACATTTTCATTTTCATCCATCCATCTGGTCTGATGATTTGTTTGTGAGATTTTATTCGTTTGTTTACGTTTGTTTTGTTGTCGATGATGTTTATTGCTTTTCTTCTAATTTATAACTTTTACTGACTGACTGAACGGATTCTACCCAAGAATATTCTCTGTGTTTGATCATCATCTTTGTTGATTAATCACGATTGATTGATTGATTGATTGTAAAATTTAACCAAAAAGAAAGAAAAACACAAAAAAAAATTCAGCAATCATGTTGAAAATGGGAACAAGAGCCGCCAGTTGTAAGTTTGATTTCATTCGATATTGTTGTTGCTGTGTTTGTTTGAAGCTTTTTCAAAAAATCATGCGAATCCTATTCCATTCGATTCAATTTCGATCTTTTGGTTCGAGTTATTTCATTTAGTTTTCTATAGTTTTGCGAAAAAATTTGTAAATTTTTGTAATTTTAATTTTCAATTTTCATTTTATCTTACCCTATTTCAACCCAAATAGTCTCGGCAAAAATAAGAAACCTACAGGATTATCATCATCGTTTGTTGAATGGGATAACACCATATCCATCAATACCGGACATAATAAATGTGCTGAAATTTTTTTCACAAGCATTATTGACCATTTTACGTGATGTTCCATGCATTCCAATCGATTTAATTCGTGATCCAAATCGTGATTCCATTCGAATTGGTTTTTTTCCCAATCTTGATTATCGAAATTTATTCTATACATTAAGCGGAATGTTGGATTCATTTGCCAATATTCAATCAACATTATCTTCGAATGCACCGATTGTATTTGAATATCTTTTACATGCATTAGTTTGTTTAGTACCATTTTTGGAACATGAAATGATGGATTCAATGCCATTAACTGTTGCAAATACAATTTCATTAAATTTTATTTCACATCAAGATATAATCGATATGTTATGTTATAATATTTTACCATTTACACTTTATAGTAAGTATTTGATATTGATTGATTGATTATCGATTATCGATTGATTTCACTTTTTGTTTTTGTTTGTTTTCCTGCTCAGATAAATCCAAAGAAAATGATGGATTCGATTTTGCAAAAGCATCGATACCATCGATACTTATGACCGTATTAAGTCATACTGATTCATTATCATTACATTCACAATTATTAGAATGTTTAATGCGTTTAAAATCAAATATTATTCAAGATTTACTGGTTGTTATTGCATACGGTACGGGTAAAGCACGTCATGCATCCGTTGAATTATTATTTCAATATTGGCCTGGTTTGAATCCAAGTGCATTGGATCGAAAACATTTATCCGAAAAACATATACAATGGAAACCATTAACATGTCAAAATGATACCTGCCAAAATACCCTTAATAATGAAGCAGTTAAAATATGTTTTGCACAAATTGATTTAATTCAATCATCATCACAATCGGGTGGTGGTGGTGGACAATCAGGTGGTGGGGGTGGAGGTGGACAATCCGGAGGCGGTGGTGGTGGTGGTGGTCAAACTGCACCCGGAATGACAGCATTACCCGCATCAATCGATCTAAAAGGTCGTCCACCAATTCCATTATTGATATGTATTGAATGTGCTGAATCCGTACGTGAACAAAATTCCCTAAATAAATCAATCAAAAGTCAAGATATTTTATTAAATGTTTTACATCCAATGGCTGAAATAAGTTATACATGTGAAAGTAAATCTTGTTTAGGTCAACAACAACAACAACAACAACAAACAACTACAATTCCTAGTCGACCATTACATTATCATCATCAACAACAACAACAATTACAACCAGCCGTTGTAACTTGTTTCAGTACTGAATGTACAAGTTTTAATTGTAATAAACCGGTAAGATTATGTCAACAATGTCATGAACAAAGACATGGTTATTTGATTGGACAATCATTAACACCACCACCACCACCACCGACAACAACAACAACAAATATCGTTAATCAACAACAACAACAACAGCCATCAAATATTGTCGCTGCATCTTCAACAACAACTGGACGCAATCATTTAGTACAGGAACATCTTCGATCATTTTGGCAATTGCCATTGGAAGCACAACAACATTTTACTGAAGCTGTTGTTGCATTATTACGTGAAGCAGCTGCAAATGATAAATCATCAAAAGAAGGTGAACGTTATATGCGTACACATGGTACAGGTGCATATACAGGTGCAATGAGTTCATCATTAGGTGCTGATCGTATGACCGGTAGTGGTGGTGGAATGGGTGGTGTTAGTGGTGGTCAAGGTGTATCAAGTGGTCAAAGTAATATTGGTTCAGGAGGACAAGATGTTACTGGTTCTGGACAGGGTGGTGGTGGAACTGCTGGCGGCGTTGGCGGTTCAAATATTGGCAGTAGTGATCGTGGACGTGATGGTGGTGGTGGTGGCGCCGGTGGTGGTCAAGGAACTACCGGTGATTCAAATGATTCATCGATTGAAGAAAGACAATTATTAAGTCGTTATGGAATTTGGTTACTGATTGGTTTGGTTGATCCAGCTGAAGCTAATACAAATGAACGTATTGAATTATTAGGACGTATGTTAGCAATGCTTTGTCAATGGTTTCATAATACAGCATGTTTACCTGATGATCAAGCTGGTTCAGCACTGGAACGTATAAAATCCGAATCAATACATGGTTGGCTAATGAAAGTTATTGAATCACAATTTTGTTTGTTTGCAAATTGCCTAGTACCAAGTCCACCTGATCATGCACAAATCGGTGGTCATTGGGAATGTTGGCCATCAATGACCAACCAAATTAAAGAAGGTTTTAAACGTTTATTATGTTTAGTACCATATGATATTATTACACCGGATATTTGGTCATATATAATGCCATTTTGGATGGAATCTTTTCGTTATGATTTAGCTGAAGATGAATTATCTGAATTAAAGATATTATTATCAAAAGTATTGGATCCTGATTTATCACCACTTGGTTTAGAAGCAGATGATATGTATCGTTTTATATCTAGGTCATTTGATCAACAATTACCCGGTGAACAAGAACAGGCATTATCTTGGTTACAAATACTTACGTTACTTGAAATCCCTGTACCAATGTATTTATTGGAACAAATGTTTTTAGCTGGTATAAAATCATTTCATAGTTTACGTGAAATGTGTATTCAACAACAACAACAACAAAAATTGGATCAAGATTCGAAGCAACCTGCAAAAGAAGATCAACAACAACAACAACAACAAGAAGGACAACAACAACAACAATCGTCGACAACATTAACACCACCGCAGCAACAACAACCAGAAATCATACCACAATCAGCATCAATGTCAATATTACCATCATCAATATCGATGGAAAATATACAACAATCTGAATTATCATGTTATGTATTAATGTTGGATATTATTGTTAAACAATTTGAATATCTACCTGATCAACCTGGTCATAAAGGTTTTAATGATCAACAAACGAATCCCAGAAAAATTTATCAACCATTAACATTAGCAAAAATGTCTAAATCAGATTCAGATTTTGGTTTTAATACATTAGTCATTCTATATGAAATGATTAATACAACTGAATGTACAAGTGGACCACATACATGTCATTCATCATTACAACGTCCACCTGATACAAGTCAAATGTTTAAACCAGATTCAGTACTAACGGAATGTTTTTTCTGTGAATTATGTTCAATTTGGTATCAACTTACATTACAAATAATCACATTATATTCACCAATTATTGAATTAACTGTTATACCTGATTTAGCTGATCAACATATGGAAACTGAAACTATTAATACATTTGCCAAATTAACTAAACGTAATGGTCTGTTATTTTCACTTAATGGTGATAATGGACAAGATGATCAAGATGAAGATGAAGAAGATAAAGATGATCAAGAAGATGATGATAATATTGATGAATCAGAATGGATAAAACAATTAACCCTGTCAGAACGTTTAACATTGAAATTGTTACAAGAAATCCCAGTTCATTCTGATCCAGATGTACTTTATCATTTATTACAATGTTTAAAACTGTTAACATTACATTGCGGTGTATTCGTTCAGATGGCAAAACATGAACAAAAACGTGAATTTTTTCTTCGTTGTCAACGTAAATATCTGGTCATTAGTTTATGGCGTTTATTACAGGCAGAATTTTCACAAATATCACAAATTGCTGTACCATTATTGTTGCATTGTATTGCCCTACCAGGTGGTTTAGCCGTATTAGTACGAACAATAAATTCAGAATTTCGTTCCACAGATTGGTGCATACGTTTTGCTGCAATTGAACGTGTTGCAACATTTTCACAATTTATTGATCAATCATCAATGAAAAATTCACCATCCATTCAATCAGCATTATCCAGTTTATTCATACACCTGATACAAACATTGGATGATATAAATTCATCGGTTGCACAACGTTCATTAACCGCATTAGAATTAATGCGTGCTGCATCATTAAAAATATATGTTATGTGTTTGGAAATGCAATTTGATTTAGTTATTGTTGATCGTTGTCTGGTATTATCAAGTTTATTACAATTATTTAATCATTTAAATGAACGTCGTATATTAACATGGGAATTTTTCCTAAATCGTTTTGATGCAATATTTGTTGAAGCGCAGGTTTTACCATCCGCTGCAACAACCGGAACATCCGCTGCAACATTACGTAATAATAACGTGGATGTCATTGCGACTGCAACAGGTACTGCAACAGCCAATGCAATTGAATCCGGTACACGTGATTTACGTAATACAAATATACATTCAGAAACATATAAGAAAAAAATAATACGTGCACAAGAAGCATTAGGTCATATACATTTAAAACGTTCATTATTACCGCATCATTTTAGCGGACGTAATGAACAACGACATTTATTATCGGTTGCTGAATTTTTTACGCAAGCATTACGTTCATCAACTGCAGTAACAAGGAATAATGATTTCAATCAACAACAACAAGCTGAAACAACAGGTGAAAATATTGATACATCATCGACGATTAACACTGGTCAACAGCAACAACAGGTGTCATCAAAATCAAATTTATTCACTAAATTACATTCACATCATTCACAAACACAATTACAATTACCACAAAATTCATCGATGCAAATTCATCAGACAAATTCATCGATAAATTTGGGTAATTTGGGTCCATCGTCATCAACAGCGATGGTTGGTGGTACAGGTGCTAGTACAAGTAGCGGTGGTGGCGCTGTAAGCCGTTCACATCATTCACATCGTAGTGAAAAATTAAAAAATCTTTCAGCATCAAATCAAGCGGCAATAAATCGTAAATCGTCAAAATTAGCTGCATTAACTGGTTCAGCATTTCCAAATAATTTTTTCCAAGATCAAGGACAAACTAAACAAGATATGGCACAAGAAGAATTGATGCTTTTTAATGTTGTACATCGTCAAATGGATGATAATATTGCTGGTGGCAGTGGTGAATATTGTGATCAAGAAACATTACATTTATTAGTATTTTTATTTATGCAATTTTTATCATATCCTGATCCACAACATCCAATCGATGATAAATCATTAAATCGTACACAGATTATTGTTTTGCGACATCTGAATACATTACTTGGTTATAGTATGTCGGAAAATATATTCTTATTAAGTGCATATGATCTTCGACGAAAATCAGTATTTTCTGCATTCATTTCTGCATTACCTGATGTTTTAGATTTAAATCTTTCGGTTGGTTCATTATTATTATCATTAATATTTCCAATATTATTATATTGTCCGGCTGAACATCATACTATTTATCTTAGTGATTTGGATCATTATCAATCAACATATTCACTTTGGTTATTATCAACAAATCTTCGTCGATCATGGCTAAATTCATTGATAATTATTTTGTATAAACATCAATATGCAACATCGAATATGAATGCAAAATTTATTCATCATTTAATACAAATTGTACAGAATACATTAGAATCAGCGCTGGAACATAAATGTAATCCAAATGCAGCAGCAGCCCGGCGAAGATCACGTGAACAACAAAAAGAATCAAATGTTGTTGCTGTTGGTGGTAAAAATCAACAACAACAACAAACAACAACAGCTACGATGACAACAATGATGGCAAATCAAATGGAAACAGAAACAACAACAGCAGTGATAAATCAAAATTATCAACAACAACAACAACAACAACAGGTGAAATCTATGGGATCCGATTCAAATGATGATACAATAACAACATTATCAGCTGCTAAAATGATATTAGCTGCTGAGCAACAACAACAATCGATAACAACAGGAACAGGTAAACAACAACAATCGATAGATTCGTCCATCACAACAAAAGATTCAAATGTTGTTAATCAAAAAGATGAACAGCAGCAACCTGATGAAGAATTAAATGTTATGTTAATGTTGATCGATAAAGCTAAAGAATTGGAACAACAAAAATATAAAGATAAACAACAGCCAACGATTAAAAAGGAGATTGTAAAAGAATTGGATGAAATTAAAGTGGAAAAAGTTGAAGTTTATACTGATCATTATCATCAACCACAACAACAACAACAACAACAACAATCGAAACCGATGAAAAAATCAATCAATAAAATACCGGATGAACAATCGATATCATCACCGCAACAATCGATAGTGATGGAAACTCAAACGCCACCACCGCCACTACCATTGGAAAGATTATTACCGGTTGGTGGTGAATTATGTGATGCAATTTGTACAAGTTTACAACGAAAACCATTATATCCATCAATGTTACAACAACAACAACAACAATCTTCTATGGATCAATCTAATGAACAACAAAAACCAGTAACAACAACAACAAATCAACCTTGTTGTTGTTGTTGTGCAGCAGCTACTGGTCAAGTTTGTTGTTTAAATTATCAACAAACATTGGATGCATTTCGTCAACTTCCACCACCACCACCTATTCGTAATCATTCAACTGAACGTTTATTACCGATAGGACCACGACCACATCATCATCATCATCATTCAAGATCATTAACTGGTGGTAGTAGATCGGTTGAAAGATCAACATCATCTGGTCCATTACATTATTCGGGAAAAAAATCTGGTCGTAATCGTTATCTAATTCGACAACATACAACAATTGCAACAACAACAACAATGTTGGCAGATGAAAATCTAGATAAACGATTATTATCATCATCAAAATCAATGGATTCAATGGATCCATCATTATCATTATCATCATCATCATCAAAAGCACGTTTAGTTATTGCAAAAATTCGTTCAGAACCAGAACCAGAATTGAAAAAATCACAGATAATTTTATCACCAACATCAAATTCATCAACACCACCGATGATGGCTAAAGAAATGATTGTTGTACAACAACAACAACAACAACAACAACAAGAATCTAGTCACGTGACAAAAACAATTATTAATCAAAAAATGCAAAAAAATATTTCACCATTAAAATCGGCATCAAGTCCTAATCTGAATGATGGTCCGATACAACAATCATCATCATCATCGCAACAACAACAACAACAACAATCAAAATCAATTCAACAACAACAACAACAGAAGCAACAAAGAATACCGCCAACACAAACACAAACACAACCATCATCACCAACAAAAATTGAATCACCAGCATCATTAGAATCATCTATAAGTATTAAAACAACATCATTAACATCAACATTAAAACCGATGGATAAGATTATTAAATCAACATCGACATCGACAACAACAACAACAACAAAATCATCAAAACAACAACAACAACAAAAAAAGAAAAAGAAAACAAAGAATAAATCATCATCATCAGCAATAAAATCATTACAGCAGCAACAACAACAAACTAGTTCATTAGTATTTCCTAGTGTACAACAACAACAACAACAACAATCGGAAATTGATACAATATCACCGCATTCATTTTCAGCACCAGCATCAGCTCGTCCTACTCAACAACAACAACAACAAATGTCGGATACAATGATGACAGATTCGCAAACGCAACAACCGCAATCGCAATCGCAATCAACTAAAGAACATACTGGTCGTTCAAATGATTCAACAAATTCTGATCTTTCATATCATCAACAACAACAACAACAACAAAAACAACAATTTGAACTTTGTAATTGTTGTGATATGCCAATTGAAAAATTTGATGAACATGAACTTGGTCTTTGTTTAGTTGCATTGGCAACATTTGTACATCGTAATCCAACATTAGCTGCACCAACATTACCACAAATATTAAAATTAACATCACGTTATGCATTGCGTTGTGTTTTTCCTTGGCAAATGGAAAGTAATATTCATCTACCAGGTAATACAGCAAGTATAGCCCGGCAATTTATTCGTTGTACCCTACATCAACTAAATTCCAATGGAATATTTCGTCAAATATTTCAAACACATTCAGGTGATATTATTATGTTTCGTTCAATAGCAATATCATTAGCTGATTTTGTTGAATTAAATCAAGTAACACCATTAAAAGAATTATTTGAAGCATTAACCGATGATAAACAACTGCCACCATTATCACAAATTCTTCTAACATTATCCAATGTAGCAACATATTTTGAATGTGTTTTTGTTGATTATAATGTAACACAAAGTTGTTCATTATCAACATTATCACCAATCATATCAAGTCAATATGGTGCAAATGTACCAGTTATGGGTGCATCAATTGTTGCAAATCAACCATGGTCAGATCTGATGACACCATTAGAAAATTATCTTCGACGATTATCATTCAATCTGATTGATATTGCACCAAATATTCATAATCTTGTACCATTAATGCGTGTATTATTAGCATTATTTAAAATACCTGGTATTGGTGCACATCGATCAATTCTGGATCCAGTTACAAAAATTCTTGCACATATATTTCAACATTCACCAATTTTATTGGAACATGTTCGTGATCTTTGTATACATTGTAATCGTGCTTATGTACGTGATCGTGATCGTTTCTGTATTGCTCGAACATTTGCACAAGAACTTGTACAAGCATTACGTTTTCGTACACAAGCACCAGATGAAAATATTTTTGCATTAGTACAATGGGCATTAGAAGATGCTGGTGGTTCATTACCATATTCAATTGCTGTACAATCATTGGAAAGAAATCAAAATAGACAGCTAGGTCTGACCGGTATTACTGTTGAACTACCAACAACAAATGCAACCGAATGTTTAAGATGTTTTATACCAGAATTATTAGAATTTATTGGCGATCTTCATGCATTGGCAAAATTACGTAGTAATTTTCAAGGTACATCTATACATATAAATCAAGAAACATTAGGTGGAAATCTTAAAGCAGGTATATCACAATTTTTAGCATTAGAATTAACAAGATTAAGTGGTTCAGATGCAAAAGCTATTACAAAATATTTACCATGGTTATATTCATTACCATCAATACAAAATGGACCAAAAGAATTTTCTGAATGTATATCACATGTACGATTATTATCATGGATATTATTAGGTTCATTACAACATACTGCATTAATGAAATGTCATCCATCACAATCATCATTACTTGTATCGCAACCAATACCATTAGATGTTAGTAATCATGTTGCTGAACATATTCATGTAATATTGGCTGGTTTTGGTTCCGAATCAAAATCATCTGTTGTACATATGTCAGCATTATTTTATGCATTTTTACTTTGTCAATTATGGACTGTTTATTGTGAACAATTAGCATCACAAAATCCACCCGGTTCGGATGCAGCACATCAAAATATCCTGGTATTAACGGATTTTTGGACTAAAGTTACACCTGGAATTTTACAGATTATAAGCCATTCAATGACTGTATGTAAATTCTGTTTTTTTTTTGTCTTTTTTTTTGTCTTGCTAATTTCTGGCTTTTTGTTGCTGCTTTTTTCCCCTGTTATGCTGCTTGGCTTTTTGTTTCCTATAGGAAATACCACAGGTATGTGTTGTACACAGGCTGGCTTTTCAAAAGCTTTATGGCAATTTTCTTGACAAAATTTTTATTTACAAAAAAACTTTTTCAATTTTTCCGAATATAGTTGGCCGATACCATTACATTACATTTTTTATCATTAATTGAAACATTAATGGAATGTAATTCGGAAATACTTGCAAGGGTATGTGTCTTTTTCCGAGTGATTTTTGGATTTTAACCAGTGTTTCTCTCTCTCTATTCACCAAACACAGCTACTACCATTATGGTTACCATTTTTTAATAGTTATCCTGGACAATTATCTGATCATGTATCAGCACGACTGAAAACATTGATAAGTTGGCCAGTACCAGCACAAACTAAAAATGATGCAATGATGTTATCCACTGTATTGATACGTTGGTTACAACGAATTCAAGCTCGGATGAGTCAAATTGAAATACAATCATCAACTGTTACACAATTTTATTGTGTTTAATTTGGTTTTTTTAATAGATTTTATTAATGTAAAAACAAAAAGTTAAAAAAAAATAATAATAATAAATTATGATTTATCAATTGAATTTAAAATTTCAGTTGCAGCCATTAAAAATGATTTAAATTTATAATCAGGATTTATATCATTTGGATTTTTAAATTTTGGTCTTTTAGCTTCAAGTTTTTCACAACGATCAGTATCGCTTATATTTTCACTAATACAAAGTGCATTGATAACATTTTGAAATATATCTTCAAGAAAATCCATTAAAAATTCACGTTCATGACGAAGACAATCAACATTGATTATGAATTGATTCATACATTCCATTGCATCAGTATAATCACTATAAAGGTATTAAAAGGAGAAAATTTTGTTAAATTCAAAATAATTTTTACCCAGAAATAAATTAACAACTTACCAACAAATATAGGAAATTTTTTCATTACCAATCGGTGCATCAACTAATGGCCATGAACGTTCAGCAAAACGATCTAAACATGTTATATTTAATCGATGACGATTTAAACATGGTGTTAGTGCCATAAGACGTTTTAATTTTTTCGCTGATTTTCTTTGTTGATTTGTTTGTTTCTTTTTACTATTACTGTTATTGTTTGAACGACAAAATGTTCGCATTATATGCCGCAATGAATATAAACTAATTTTAGCCATATTTTTATTATAACCATCAGCACATTGTTCATAATATTTTTCAACTTTACTTATTAAACGATTACATTCATCACAATAATTATTTAATTGTTCATTTGTTTCGGGAAATTTTCTACCATTCGGACCAAATGTAACAAAACGTTGCATAATCAAATCGGTTTGAAATTTTCTTTGTAAATTACATTGTTTTTGAATCGATGTTGAATTTTGCTGTGGAATTTTTGCCGATTGAACCAACAATGATGATCCAAAAACAACAAAGATGATCGATAATTGTAGAAAAATTCTATAATAATAATGTTGGCTAATCATTATTATCAATTTGAAAATTTCAATTTCTTCTTGCTTGCTAAATCGATAATTGATCAATAATTAGATAGTTTTATCATTTAACACCAACCGACATACATTTTTCTGTCCTTTTTATATCATCTTATCATTTTTTTCTGCTGAATAAATTAAAGGATGATTTTTTTTCAAAGAAAAAACGCATCACATGAATTTATGTCATCAGACACATCATTTACGTATGTAAGAAAAATATTGCTCGAAGGGTTATTTTTCTCCTTTCTAGAATATCCCATTGGTTTTTTTCAAAATACAAATTTTTCAAGGTTAAATGATTTATTTTTTCACATGAATTTTTTTTTTTGAATTCTATATAATTTTTAACTGAAAAAAAATCTGACAAATTTGACATCAAATTGATGGAAATGACGACTGGTTTCGAGTGTTGTACTTGATTATCATTATTTTTTTATTGAGTAAAAAATGAATTATCCATCAAAAAATTTTTCAAAAGATTTTTATCAATTTTTTTTTCTTCTAAAAAAAAAGATTCACAAAGTGTTAAATGTGTTGGATGAATTGACGTAAACCATCATTAATGATTTTTTTCATCAAATTTTATCTTGATTTGTTTGAAAGGTTTTTTGATCGTTTCGTTGATTCTAATCGTTCACAATTAATCAAATGAATCTAATGATTTGAACAAAATACATTCAATTAAATTAAAATTACAAAAATTTGATTATTTTATTTTATTTTTTTTTTTTTGGATTGTTGAAAACAACATGAAAATGAAATAAAATTATTTGATTTAAAAAAAACAAACGAAAAACCAGTTTGTCATTCAGTATAGTGAAAGCCGAAAAGAAAGTAAAGAAAAATTACAAAAAAAAAAAAATGTTTTCATTATTCTTTTTGTTTTCGACATTAATGATTATAATATTATCATTTGAAATAATGATTACATTACAAACAAATTATACTTATAATTGTAATGATTATTATCTACAAAATACAATCGGTATATCAATAATGGATAGTTATATAATACAATTTGTTTATATAGAACCAAAAGATAGATCATTACCGATAAAAGTATGGAAACATTCACATTTAATAGCAATAAAACCAACATCAAGAAATCTTATAAATATGAATATTAATGATAAAACAAAAACAATGGAAATTGGATTAGGAAAGCTTATTATGAATGGTCCAATTACAACAACATTTCAATGGAATTTAATGGAATGGTATTATAATCATTATAAATATTATCATTATAATACAAATAAAGATTTAATAAATTTAGCATGGTTTCAATCATCCAAAACAACTAAAACATTAATAATGTTAAAAACAAGTAATCGTAAACAATATGAACAATTATATTATCGTAATGATTATCCGATTGGTATACAACCTAAAAATGATACAATTAATTTTGAAAATCAAGCATATATAATATTTATAACATCAATGGAAACAATGTATAGCCTAAAATATGAATCATATAATAATTCATTAACAATATGGCAATGGAATAATCAATGTGAATGTTTTGCAAATTTTTTAGGTTTTTTAGTATTCGATAAAACCGGTATGCAAATATCCCTATCAAACAAACCAATGGAATATGGAATGAAGAAAAAAAATTTCTGGTCTAAATATGATTTTAATTATGGTTTTGAATTATTTTTTAAAGAAAAACATTGCGATCATTATGATTATTCAAATTGGTGTGGTCATTGGCAAATATTTTTAATTTCAAATAAACAAAAATCAATATTATCATTCGATGGTAATGTATTGAAAAAATCGAATGATAATAAAAATTATCCGATTGATTGGTTTCAATTTAAGGATTTTTTTCATTGTACGAAAAAAAATACTGATGATCAAACATTTGATGATCAATTGAACAATGGTGTAAAAAGAGTAAAAAGATCAATACAACATAAACAAGTATGGAAAAGAAAACCAAATCCATCCGAATTACATGTAGTAATAATTATAACTATTTTAGTAATGTTAGTTATTATAATTGGTATGGTCATTTTTTTCCGTCATACATCACATTTACGAACATTATCACCAACAACAATAACAAAAATTATAAATGATAATTTATAATTTTTAATTTCTAGTTTTGTTGAAATGAATTGAAAAAAAAACAATAATAATAAATTTTTTTATTTACAAAATTTTGATTAAAATTAAAATTAAATTAATATGTTATTCGTTTTTTTCATTGATTGATTGATTGAAAATTCAAATGTAACAACAATGTAAAAATTACAAATAAAATTTATTTATAAACAAAAACAAGTTTGAGAAAAATCAAACGGGGTACTACCACAAAGCGTTATAATGTTTATATTATTCTGTTTTATGACAATTATATTATCATTCAAAATATTGATAACATTACAGGAAAATAACCATACAGATAATAATTGTACTGATTATGATCTACAAAAAACAATCGGTATATCAATAATGGATGATTATTTAATACAATTTGTTGATACAGAACCATCGATAAGAAGATTACCAATAAAAGTATGGCAACATTCACATCCAATAGTAATAAATCCAAATTCTAAACATAAAATAAATATGAATATTAATGATAAAACAAAAACATTTGAAATTGAATTAGGATGGTTTATTAATTGTGGTCCTACCGCAACATTTTTTCAAGTAGATTTAATGGAATGGCAACATAATTCATCAATAATCAAACAAAATAAATTAATAAATTTAGCATGGTTTCAATCATCCAAAACAACTAAAACATTGTTAATGTTAAAAACAAATGATCGTAAAAATTATGAACAAATGTTTCATACAAATGATTATTTTGGTTATCCAACATTTGATGATTTTGTATTTAAACATTCAACAAATTTAATATTAATAACATCAAAAGAAACATTATATTGTTTAAAATATGAACCATATAACAATTCATTAACAATATGGCAATGGAATAATCAATGTGAATGTTTTAATAATTTTTTAGGTTTTTTAATATTCGATACAACCGGTATGAAAATATCATTATCATCTAAATCGATTGGAAATGGATATTCAAAAAATTTTTGGTCAAAATATGATTTTAATTATGGATTTCAATTATATTATAGTGAAAATCATTGTGATCCATATGATTATTCAAATTGGTGTGGTCATTGGCAAATATTTTTAATTTCAAATAAACAAAAAACAATATTATCATTCGATGGTGATGTATTGAAAAAATATTACAATGAAAAATATTCATTTGAATGGATTAATTTTACGGATTTTTTTCATTGTACAAAAAAAATTAATCAAACATTAGATGATCAATCGAACAATGGTGAAAAAAGAGAAAAAAGATCAATACAACATAAACAAGTATGGAAAAGAAAACCACATCCATCCGAATTACATGTAGTAGTAATTATAACTATTTTAGTAATGTTAGTTATTATAATTGGTATGATTATATTTTTTAGACATACATCACATTTACATCATATATCACCAACAATAATAACAACAACAATGAATGATGATGATTAATTAATTAATTTATAGTTTTGTTGAAATGAATTTGAATAAAAAAAACTAACAACAACAATAATAATAATTTTTTTTTCTTCTACAAAATTGTAATTAAAATTCAAATTGAATTAATGTTGTTAAAAGTTTGTTTGTTTTTTTATTCGGGAAAAATATTCGAATTACAAAAATGTAAATAAAAAATAAAAATAAAATTATTTACAAAACTTTAGAGTTACACACTTTGTTATTATTAATGTTATTGAAAAAAAATGTTTTTTGAACAATCATCATCATCATTAACAACAACCGAATTATCAATCGATTCAAGTAAAGTTGAAAAATCGGATAAAAAAAATCCATTAGAAGTTCTTATATGTATTTTGGGTGCATTATTGCTTATTACTGCTTTTGTTATTATTCATAGACAACGATCAAAATCAAAATCATCATCATCATCATCATCATCATCACCACGTTTATCATCAACACCATTACCATTATCACCACCAGCAACAGCAACAGCAACAATATAAAGAGAAGATGCATAATTCAGATAATTTAATTTAATTAATGTTATAATTTAATAATCTTATAACTTTATAATTTTATTTAAAAAAAATGTAATAAAATGACGTTTTCGTAAAAAATAATTTGAAAAAAGTAGAAAATTTTTGGTTTGTAGTTTGGGTTTTTTATCAAGTTGATGATAATGTTTTTGAAAAAATCATCCTTATTCGCAATATTATTATTCGAGTATTCGTTTCAAACAATTCAATCGATCGATAATCAATCGATCAATAGCAACAACAAGTTGTTCAGAAATCCGCTAAAGAATGCTAAAGTGGTGGCCAAATTCTTTCCATCGATTATGGAAACAAACAAACCGATTGAACGAATAGTAAGGAAATACAAACGATCAAAAAGAAATGATCCAACTGAAGAAAATACAACATTAGAATATGAACAAGATACGACAGAAAATCCCGAACAAACTACAACCGAAATGTCTATGATTAATGATTCATCATCATCAGCAATAAAATCAAGTAATCAACAAGAATATTATAAATATAAATTATTAGTAATAATTGGTCTTTTTGCAATAATATTAATTAGTTTTGTAATAACATTTATACATATACAAACAACACGATTAACACCAAGCCAAAGAAAAGATGATATAATATTTATTGATAGAAATCATTATAATTATTTTTAAGATTGGAATGAATGAATGATGATAATAATTTTAATAAATTTTTAATAATAATAATCAAACAATTACAATGTTGAAGATTAATTGAATAAATTTAGAATTTGTAAAATTGTCGTCGCAGTTATTGTTTATTGTTTTGTTTTGTTATAATTTTATAATTTTTTAAAAAACAATGGAAAAATAAAAGTATTTATAAAATCATTTTACAAATGAAAAAGTAGTGGACAAAAAATTTGTAATTCATTTATTTTTCTTTTCGAAAAAAAATGATAATAATTTTTAAAAAATCATTATTATTTATAATATTGTTTGTGTATTCGATGTCATTACAACAGCATATCAATGATGATGATGATGATGATTATCGAAAAATAAATTACAAAAGACAATCAATCAACAACAACAACAACAACAACAACAAGTTGTTCAGCCATTCAATGTTAAACAAGATTAAATCTTCTAAAATCAAATATAATA